CAGGGTGGCTGTACCATTTTACATTCCCACCAGCAATGTATGAGAGAGAAATTTCTGTGCAGCCTTGCCAGCATTTGGTATTGTTGCTATGTTGTATCTTAGCTGTCCTAATAGGTATGAAGTGGTATGTTATTGTACTCATTTGCATTTTCCTAGTGGCTAGTGATGTTGAACATCTTTTTGTGTGCTTATTTACCATCCATATCTCCTCTTTGGTGAAATGTTGGTTCAGGTGTTTTGCCCATTTACTAACTGGATTGGTTTTTACTCTTGAATTTTGAGAGTGATTGGTATATTCTAGATAAAAGCCCTTTGTCAGATATGTGGTTGCAGATATTTTCTCTCAGACTGTATCTTGTCTTTTCATCCTAACAAGATCTTTGGCAGAGCAGAAGTTTTAAAATTTTGATGAAATCCGATTTATCATTTTTTCTTTTGTAGATTGTGCATTTGATGTCATGTCTAAGAACTGCCTGTCCCTCACCAGTATCACACTGTTGTGATTAATGTCGTTAGATGTAGCTTAATATTGAATAGAGTGACTATTCCTACTCTATTCTTTTCCAGAAAGGTTTTAGCTATTCTAGTTTTTTTGCCTTTCCATATAAATTTTAGAATAAGCTTCTCTGTATGTATAAAAGGCATTGATAGAATTTGGTAGGAATATTGTTAAAACTATAAATCAATTTGGGGAAAAAAATGACATCTTTACTTGAGTCTTCCAATCCATGAACATAGTTATTTCTCTCTATTGATTTAGATTGTTTGATTTCTTTTATTGGTGTTTTGTAGTTTTTGGCATACAGGTCCTTTATTGTTTTGTTAGATTTATACCTAAGTATTTAATTTGAGCGATCATAAATAGCATGAGTTTTTAAATTTGGTTTTAAGATGTTCATTTCTAGTATATATAAAGTTGATTTTTAAATATTGATCTTGTACCTGCAAATCTGCTGAATTCACTTATTAGTTCTAGGAGTTTGTTTTGTATTCCTTGGGATTTTCTATGTACATAATCATATAAACACAAATAAGGACTGTTTTCTTTCTTTCTTTCCAATCAATATGGCTTTTCTTTTTCTTGCCTTATTTCATTGGCTAGAACTTCTAGCACTATGTTGAATAAGAATGGTAAGTGCAGACACCTTTGTGTTCTTCCTGATCTTAAGGGGGAAGTATTCAGTCTTTCACCATAAATAATGAGGTTAGATGTCGGTTTACGTAGATTTTTTAAACATCTTTATTGGAGTATAATTGCTTTACAATGGTGTGTTAGTTTCTGCTTTATAACAAAGTGAATCAGCTATATATATATACATATATCCCCATATCTCCTCCCTCTTGCGTCTCCCTCCCACCCTCCCTATCCCACCCCTCTAAGTGGTCACAAAGCACCCAGCTGATCTCCCTGTGCTATGCGACTGCTTCCCAGTAGCTATTTTACATTTGGTAGTGTATATAAGTCCATGCCACTCTCTCACTTCGTCCCAGCTTACCCTGCCCCCTCCCCATGTCCTCAAGTCCATTCTCTACGTCTGTGTCTTTATTCCTGTCCTGCCCCTGTGTTCTTCAGAACCATTTTTTTTTCTTTTTAGATTCCATATATACGTGTTAGCATACAGTATTTTGTTTTTCTCTTTCTGACTTACTTCACTCTGTACAGACTCTAGGTCCATCCACCTCACTACAAATAGCTCAAATTTCATTTCTTTTTATGGCTGAGTAATATTCCATTGTATATATGTACCACATCTTATTTATGCATTCCTCTGTCGATGGACATTTAGGTTGCTTCCATGTCCTGGCTATTGTAAATAGTGCTACAATGAACATTGGGGTGCATGTGTCTTTTTGAATTATGGTTTTCTCTGGGTATATGCCCAGTAGTGGAATTGCTGGGTCATATGGTAGTTCTATTTTTAGTTTAAGGAACCTCCCTACTGTTCCACGTAGTCGCTGTACCAATTTACATTCCTACCAACAGGGTAGGAGGGTTCCTTTTCCTCCACACCCTCTCCAGCATTTATTTGTAGACTTTTTGATGATGGCCATTCTGACCAGAGTGAGGTGATACCTCATTGTAGTTTTGATTTGCATTTCTCTAATAATTAGCAATGTTGAACATTTTTTCATGTGCCTGTTGGCCACTGTATGTCTTCTTTGGAGAAATGTCCATTTAGATCTTCAGCCCCTTTTTTGATTGGGTTTTTTTTTTTTGATATTGAGCTGTATGAGCTGTTTGTATATTTTGGAAATTAATCCCTTGTTGGTTGCATCATTAGCGAATATTTTCTTCCATTCTGTTGGCTGTCTTCTCGTTTTGTTTATGGTTTTCTTTGCTGCACAAAAAAGTGGCTTCTTTAGGTTACACGTATGTAACTAGTCACAGCCTACTGGTCTCAACATTTTACTACCACCTCAAGTGAAGTGTAGAAACTTTATGTCCATTTAGGTTCCATTATCCTGTGCCCTTTATAATTCTCTTATAATATTTTCTCTCTGTATATTGAGAACTACATCATACAATGTTATAATTTTTGCCTCAACTGTCAAACATAATTTTTTAAACTCAAGAGAATAGTCTATTAAATTTACTTCTATTTTATCCTTTCTGTTCATTCTTCATGATGTTTCAAGTTTCCTTCTTTTATCCTTTCTTTTCTGCTGGAAAAACTTCCTTTAGCAGTTCTTTTACAGCAGTTCTATTGGCAATAAATTCTCTTAGTTTCCTTCATCTGAGAATGTCTTTATTTCACATTCATTCCTGAAGGATATTATCATGGAATATAGAAGTCTGAGTTGACAGTTATTTTCTTTCAGCTCTTGAAAAATGTCATGCCACTTCCTTCTAGCCTCCATGGTTTCAGATATGAAATCCACTGACATTCAAATCATTATTTCCATAAGTAATGCATCATTTCTCTCTAGTTGCTTTCAAGATTTTTTATTTGTCTTTACTTTCCCGAAATTTGATTATGCTGTATCTTGGTGTAGATTTCTTTGGGGTTTTGTTGGGGTTCACCCAACCTCTTGAATCTGTAGGTCTTTTGCCAAATGTGGGAAATTTTTAGCCGTATTTATTCAAGTACTTTTTCAGCCTCAATCGCTATCCCCTCTTTCTGGAACTCTGATTTAAAAAAATGAACACTAGATCATTTATTGTAGTACCACAGGTCCCTGATGCCCTGTTCATCTTTTTTTCACTCTACTTTCTCTCTTTTGTTCAGATTGGGTAATTTCTATAGTTATATTTTCAGACTCACTAATTCTTTACTGTCATCTGTATTCTGCAATTTGGCCCATCCAGTGAGCTTTTAAAATTTTGGTTATTGTATTTTACAGTTCTAAATTTTCCATTTGGTTCCTCTTTCGTTTTTGTATTATATTTCTTTGCCAGGAATTTTTTTTTTTTTTGCTTCAAGTGTGTAACTGCTAATTGAAGTATTTTTACGATGGTAGCTTAAAATCCTTCTTGGATAATTTCAGTATCTGTGTTGTTTCAGTGTTGGCATCTGTCAGGTGTCTTCTCTCATTCAAGTCAAAATCTCCCTGGTTCTTGGTTTGACAAGTGATTTTTTTTTATTGTATCCTAAACCTTTGGCATACATTTGAACATATATTATGAATCTCTGAATTTTATTTATTTTAGCAGGCCTCCACTGACAATGTGCTGGTAGAAGAAGGGGTGCATCACCTGGTTATTGCCAGGTGGGGGTGGTAGTCCAGAAGCCCTGGCTTCCCCTAGGCCTCTGCTGACAGGAGGGGGGATTTTTTTTTTGAGGTGCTTGGGTTCTTTCTAGGCTGACCCTTTCCCTGCCCTTTGGCTAGAGATAACAGGCTTTTCATGGGGCTTTTATGGTCTATGGCCATTGGTATTTCTGGCCTGCTGGATTCTTCAGCACCCGTCCTAGGATATTGAGGAGGCAAAAAGAAAACCCAGGCAACTCACACCTGTGTTGTTCCTCAACTCCCAAGGTCCCTAGTCAGTCCAGCTTGTTTTTCCTATCCTTCAGAGTCTTATCTTCATCTTATAAATATATTTGGGAATTTTAGTTACACTTTGTGGGAGGAATAAGGAGCAATGCATCTATTCTACCTTACCTGGAACCACAGTCAGCCTGTCTGGAAATTGGTTTTTATTAAACTAAATTCAACTGAAATTTGACATGCTGGCTCTTTCTTTATGTAAATAACCAGTACTAACAGAATGCTAAAGGTCATGAGACAGGCCTCAAGGCATTTATGAAATCAGTTCTTGTCTAATGCTTAATGTGAATCTTTATTGCACATTTTTAATCACCTTGAAAGTGCTCCTTACCCAAACTCTGCTGCATCAGTAGTTCTATCAAGTTTTACTACATTAGAAAATGATGTCAAATTTGGCACATATCCGGGATCAGAGGAAGGATCACAAGAAAGCCAGAAACTGGTGGCAGAACTAGCATGAACATCGTCAGTTCACCCTTTGCCGCTCCCATAAAGTGATGCAGCAATGTGTTTTAATGGAAGATGGAAAAAGCCCAGATCCCACAGAGGTAGGAAGCTGGACTCGTTGCTTATATACAGCCTCAGTTTTACAGAACAGCTGATCGTTGTTGGCATGATTTATTTCGCACATATGAACCAGTACACAAGTGAAAGGTGGATGGTTATATGGTCGGTGCCTAAAGGTACAGCTTCAGTCCCAGCCCTTACCCCACTCTACCCAGCAGGTCTCAGAAAGTTTTCTTCTCAACAGGCGCCCCACAGCAGCAGCTGCAGAAAGCACAGTCACACTAAGAGAGGTGCCCCCATCTTTATCCTCACCAAACACCTCTTGGGTCACAAGCAGAAATGATAGATACTGATTCTGTATGGGTCTATAGCATTGGATAACGCAGCTTAGGTAGGGAAGAGTATAGGTTTCATATTTAAGAGGCCTTATGTCATCAAGGTTCAACAGGCTTTCCGTGGATTTCTGTGTTCTGAAGTTCAAACATCCTTTGTTCCTTCCCTTCCAGGTCAGTCACCACGAACCAGGCCACTCAGCACGTTGTCCCAGCATTGGAGAAGCCATGCTGTGGAGGCAGTCTATCACTGTCAGAGACTGGGGCTTGACTTGGTACCAACTGCTGTGCTATTCTGCGGAGCAGGAATATTATGAGCTGTTAAATAATGACTGACACATTGGTTGAAATGAAGTTTCCAGTAAGGAAGTGACAGTGCAATGTGGATAATTATGGCAATAAAATAGGAAGAGCTTTAGTTCCCAGCCTGACCCTGCCTCTGCTGGAGCCATGTCAACAAGGCGTTCTCAGAACAAAGAAGAGACGTGATTTGGTACCATTTCCCATCAGCAGGTGTCTGGACAAAACATCAATGTGAATAAGGTTCAAGTGCAGTCCTGTGTATCTTGATTAAATTACTTAATATTAAATAAAAGGTCTGGGTGGTATTTTTTAAAATCTGACTCATCCAGCTCTAATTCAAATAGCTCCCCTCACCCCGACCCTTGAATGGAGTTTTAAAAAGTAATTTCTCTCCCTGCGGTGGGAGAACCCTAAAGAACTGAAAGAAATTTTTGCTTTTAAATTGTTCTATCTGATGTTTTTGTAAATTATATTATTAAATGACTCTGGAGTCACTGTTAATGACAAGATTTGGTTTTGCTCTGTTATGATGTAGTTCAATTGCATGGTTTAGGGAAAAGCTAGTCTACATACAAAAGAACACAAAGACTATGAAGGAAACTATAGCGAGCTCAATAATCTTAGCAACTAGCCAACACTCAAAGCCTGTTAAAGATGATTGCAGGCCAGGAGACGTCACAGGCAGAGACCAGGTTTAAAGTGTTTCTTTTAATCCTAAGGCACATTTTTAACATCTAAAAAAAAAATCTGTTGCTGTGATTTTTAGATCTAATTTTAAAACTAAAAATTTTCAAGCATCTCGATTAGGGGTCAGCAAAAAACTTTTCTGTAAAGACCCTGATAGTAAATAGCTCAGGCTTTATGAGCAGCTAGTTGTTCACTGCTGTTACAACTCCTTAGCTCTGCGTGAAAGCAGTCACAGACAGTATGCAAATGAGTGAGTGGAGTGTGTGCCAATAAAACTTTATTTACAAAAACAAGCAGTAGGCTGGATTTGGTCCAGGGGCTGCCGTAATTTGTCAATCTCTGTTCTAAATGAAATTGGAGAGGAATAGCTTCCACCCAGAACAGAACCTCTCTGTGAGGGAAAGAAACAGACTAAGAACAGGATCATACTGCATTCTTCTACTAACGGACAATACTTTTAGAAATACAAAGCAAGATGAGCTCACCCAGTTAATCTTTTTATTTTGAGTTTTGTTAAAAAAAAAAAGCTTTGAGAAAAATGTGTTAAATATCAGTAAAGGGCAGGAAAACATGTAGCTAGCTTTATAATATCAATCTAAACATATACACAAAGGCAAACATTAAGTAAAATGCTAGGGAAAGGGAGCACTTTGGGGGCCTAACTCCAGTTTTTCTTATTGCACATAAAGGTTGCTGATAACTCCAAGTCTTCACTTTTTCACAGTTAGACATACTTTAATATTATTTTATATAACATGTTTATATAACATCCTATGTTAATTTTATAAAGCCACCAGTTTGCTACTGTTGAATGGAAGTAAAAGACAAAAATTTCCCCAATTACAGTATGTAAGCTCTCTATAAAAAAATTCCCCAGAAGGTCACATCAGCCCATAATTAAATTCATCCTATTCTATTTAAAAAACTGCTTTTCAGCTATTAAATGAATCTTGGTGGCCTTCCCATTTAATCATTTTAATAGACATAGTAAAACTTCCTAAGTAAGAAGTACCAGATGTATTTTATGTAAAAAATTAAAAACCTAGGAGGTGACCCTACCATGAAGTCATACTTCGAATGAGTGATTTCAGGGACAAATTCCAAATCCATAGACTTAACACCCGCATGACTGAAAATCATCCCACTGCTTCTCCAAAGCCCAAAGCTGGAATAATCACAACTAAAGTCAACCCCCAAATGTCCATGCAGCTAGATACTCACCCAGTAACACTGGGATCTTAACTTTTTTGAAGTGCTTTAGACAGCAGATGTAGAGTTCTTCATGCTGTTTCCAAGTCCTTTTCCACCTGAGTTCCCCCAACACATACAGGCCCAGATAATTTTCCACTGGCCAAGAGTTGAGCTGACCATGACATGTGGCAGTTCTGTGAACCCATTTGAAAAGGTGGCCATCAGGATGAGAAGGTAACCTCTCCCTCTCCCGAGCACTCTCATGTCTGGTACACATCTTTACAAAGGGCAGCAGAACAGGCAGCCCTTCCTTCTCATCTTTTCCAAGGTTCATGTAGCAGAAAACTGGCTGCCTGTGTGCGCCATGTGGGCCATGGTTAGACTATACCCTGCTTACAAAAATAAAACTGACATCAAAAACTTTGGTTTTGCTCTTTACAATTTCTGCTAGCACTGGCTGACAAGATGGGTTTGTTAATTTATAAAAACTCTGCTTATGAAACTTGGAACTGGAAAAAAAATGGTTTATTTCTAGGTCTCGTTTTGAAAGGATTGTCAAAGAGTCTACTTGCTTTTCCTCGTTAGACACTAGCATTGGTTTCCAGAATATTTCTCTGTAGATTGTTCTTATTAGGTTTTAGAAAGAGGGAAGGTCTTTTGAGGTATCCACATGGTGAAAGCAGCATTTAGGTGGGTCGTTTCTAAACTCTAACTCTTGGCCACTAGATGCCCTCAATTTACTGTATCAGAACGCAGCAATTGACACTGGTGAGCCAGATTCTCATTTAAAAAAACAACAGAAGAGATCAGAATTCAATGATACCAGTCTATTGTATTTGACAGACTAGCTCCTACACTAATTCACCTACAGAAGCAACATCAAAAAGCAGGCACGAAACCTGTCAAGTGTCCCATTTCTGAAGTGGAATAAGGAGTCATATACTTACTGAATCAGAAAGCTGACTTTCCAGATGCTCTCAGTCCAGATTGCATTTTATAGCAGATGGGAAAATCAGCTTTCTGATCTACCTCTTAGAACTCGCAATGGGTACCAAGGTAGGTTTCCAAGCGGATGATTTTCCCCTCTGATGAGTTGCTTGTTTGCCCTGCCAGCAACCTCCCCTGAGCGCATCAGCGGTGTTTCTACATTTAGCAATCATTTTGTTCACATTAAATAGCTGACATGATAACATTAACTTCCACTCTGGACATAGAAAGGGAGAGCTATGATGGGGGGTGGGAGGTGTGTGCGTGAAACAGACTTCTGTTTTGGAAAGAACCATTACTTCTTTGCCCGAGACTGAAATGTTCGCGGATAGCTGAGATAACATTCTTTCAGGTTTTCTAAAGAGATTTTGTCAACTGAACCATGAAGGACATTTTCAGGTCTAGAGAACACGGCGTAAAGAGCGCCTTGCTGTTTGCTTGATGAAACATTTGATGCCGCAGCGTGATTTTGGGCTGCAGGGCATCAATGCTTTGTCTGGTCACTCTGAGTCCTGATGGTCAGAGTCCACTTAATCACATATGCCCTTCCTATACCTGTTTCCTAGGAAGAAATACCAAATTTCCTTCTTTAGTTCAGTTCTCCTTGTAGTCCCCAAAAAGAGTATGAAAAGGAATGGCAGGCGTTTTTGTCTTTCCTGTGTCGGTGCTATACAAAAGTTTGCATCTCCTTAATTACCTGCTACCGACACCACCCCCACGTGACAGCAAAGTGATCACAACTTTCCACTTAATACGGGGCCTCTGCTCAGGCAATAAATGGGCCCATCCTTACCCTGAGGAGTCCATCGTGGATGCAGGCATGGGGACAAGCAAAGTGTGAAGAGAAAGAAAGTTCACTTGACTGCAATGGGGACTATTAATATAATCTCAGGTTAAACTGCAAAGATACCATCTCAGAAACCTTCACATTTGATTAGTCTGCAGCTCAGTTAAGACAAAACCCCTTTTTTCCCACAGATGGGGGCAAACATGACAGGTTTTTAATCCCCCCCCCCCGCCAAACATACACTCAAGTCGCCCATCTCTCCTTCTCACGCTCTAAGGTTTTCAAAAGTGACCTTTTAGGTTGCACTTTTGTGTGTGTGTGTGTGTGTGGTATGCGGGCCTCTCACTGTTGTGGCCTCTCCCGTTGCGGAGCACAGGCTCCAGACGCGCAGGCTCAGCGGCCATGGCTCACGGGCCCAGCCGCTCCGGGGCATGTGGGATCTTCCCGGACCGGGACATGAACCCGTGTCCCCTGCATCGGCAGGCGGACTCTCAACCACTGCACCACCAGGGAAGCCCTAGGTTGCACTTTAAGAGGTACATTCTTGACTTCTGCAAAGATTAGCATGAAACTCTCACAGCTGCCCAGTCTGTATTACCGATCAACAACTGTTTGTTCCACATGACTAACAACTAAAATAAAACGTTCATTGCTAGGCCATTCTTTAAGGTTCCAAATAGGGTCCACTGCAAGTTCTAGACAAGAGGCTCTCAACCCTAGCTGTGTATTAGAATCCTTGAGGATCTAGAACAAAGCATGGCAGACAGGCCCCACCCCAAACCTACTGAATCTGAATCTCTGAGGGTAGGGCCCTAGCATCAATAGTTTTAAAAACTGGCCAGGTAATCCTAATGTGCAGCCAGGGTTGAGAACCTGTGCTCTAGAGCATTCGACTACTGAACTGTCATCCCCCTAACCCAGAACAAGCATGTTTATAAGATGACCTGGGATTACTCTCTCAGGGGAACTTTTCTTCAGCTGGATGCACCATTACTTAGCAGTTTTGATCTGATTTCTGCCAGACTGGCAACAGACACTCAGCCTTGAGTGAGGTGATTTCAGGCCTACTTTTCTGCCACTCAGCACAGGCATGATGCTTCTGAGAGGTGGAAGCACGTTGATGAGTGGACTCACTTCCCATGACCCCTGGTAAGGTCAGGATTAATCTCCACATCTTACAAACCAAAATTAGGACGACAGGTCAGTGATTCACTCTGATCCACTGAATAAAAAATCCAACCACATAATTACAAACCTAGCTAACTTTTAGCCTTAGCAAATCTCCATTTACTTATATTTAAGTAGGTTAGAATAAAATGTTTGCAGTGAAGAGGACAAAGCCCATGGATGACCATAAAATCAAAATGGACTTTAGTGTAGATACGAAGGAAAGAGGGGAATAAAAATGATTCAATTATATTATATTGAACCATATGAAATTGCCCTATTTTTTTTAAATGGTTGAGTGTCAGCAATTTCATATGGCTTAACCTAATAATAAAATTTTCCTGGTTTGCACAAATTATCAATTCAAAAACAAAGTATCAAGTAATGTCTTATTTAAAAATTAACCATTAAAAATGCGAGTCAAGAAGATTAAATGACTGACTTCATTATGGGTGTCCTAGATTGAACTGGGCCACTATTTTGTCTGCCATAATAAGAAAAATGCCCACATTTTATGAAAGCATTTTTTAGAAATTGGGTTTTCAAATATACTAGCACTGAAGCATAGAGACATGGGGAGAATCTCAAACTTGGTTTCCAAGAGTTCTCTCAGTATTTCACCTACTGCAGGTGCGGGCAGGTGGAACAGCTCATCCACAAAGAACCCAAACTAAAAACCTAAATTTTAAAGCACACTTACACATTAAGCTGGTGCAAGCCTCCCCAGATACCAAGAAAATGGCCCTTCTCTACATGGCATTCAATGTCAAGACATCTGGATTCTTAATCTGTTTATAGTAGACAGAACCTTCCATCAAGGTGAATAATGCTGAACTTTTCATTGACTTGCCTCTGATTCCCCATTTGGCCACTGAAATCTCATGTATTTATTAGCTCAAAGTTTGGAATTCTACTCAGTCGTAAGAATACTATCTTGTATTTTCTTTGCAGTTAGTTTTGTTTGCAGTGAGATTTCTTCCCTCCGAATACTAGCTTGTTCCCTCTTAGGCTTCTTACTGCCTTCTCTTCCCTAGATAAAATGGCACCCCACAAATTGTGGTGTTATTTCTAAACCCACAATAGAACCCAGTCCTATTAATCATTTTCCAGGCAGTCAGCTCATATGGGAGCCTTCAAGAACTGACTGATTTTTGCAGTGATATCACCATCAGTTTCTAAACAGTTTCTCCTGTCCTCAGATTAATTAAAAACAACAGTATAACACTCTTTTGCCTTTGGTTTCAAACATTTCAGTAACTTCTTCTTTATAGAGATTTCCAGAGAAGGAATTGGAATTCGTTCCCCCATGTTGAAATGTTCATGGACATATTTTCCAACCTTCAGTCTAGAGGAAACACAGGTAGCCAAAAAGGGCAGGAATCCTGATAGGAGGGTGCAGTCACGCAGCCTCGCTGCTGGAGCCTCCACTCAAATTGCTTTTTCATGTTTTCTGGCCCGTTAAACACCAGCTTCTCACAATCCTTGGAGGTCCAATCTCAACTGCCTTCCTTCACGGTCTTTTTCTAGCCTGTTCCCCCCCTTGCTATTCCTACAACCAGCTAGACCTGCATCTCTGTGTCTGGATATGAAGCGTCTCCTGGGAAGAACCCCCAGGAGTTCTTCACCCTGCCACATCTTGTTCAGATCCGCAGATGAATGAATGAAGAGAGCATTAAAGCATGCTATTAGTTTGTTTGTTTGTTTAACTCTGAACAGCGCACTACTATGTGAACAAAGTGGGAATAGGTCTGCATTTGTCTTGATTTAGAGACACTTTAGCCCCACTAGCTGCGTCTTGGGTTAAATTTTAAATGTGAAGATATCTTCAGACCCCAATAAAATAGAAGTGTTTAGTTCCATTCAGTCAAGGCCCCACGTCAAGCTCGCAGCCATCCTCACCCCGCCAGTGGGCCTACCCCGTCACTCAGGGCTCGGGGCGGGGAGTCACGCGTTATCCTCCAGGGGAAACACCAGGCGGGTGCCCCGGCTGGAAACCTTCTGCTCTCCCATTCCCAGGTCTCGTTCCAGCACCTCCTCGGCGCTCGTGGGGGCTGCGTGGGAGCTTGAGGAGCCGTTCGCAGTCACTGTGCTGTCCCCGTAGGTCAAGGTGAGGTCGCCCTCGGTCAGGATGAAATCAGAGTCTTCCTCTCTCAGCGGCTCTTGGTTCTGAAACGTGCAACAAACACCACGAACATCAACAACAAATGGAAGACCACTATTTTCCTGGGCTGAAGCCAACCCCAACCTCAGCTCCTCATCTGAAAAGAGGGATCATAAAACTTGCCTGCCTTGAGCCTCTAGCATGATAACTGGATGCAAACTGTAGAGTGCTAGTCAATGTAAGGCTGTTGCTGAACCAGCGCTTCAAACACCAGAAAGCAGTTCTGATTTTAAATGCCTGACAGCTTGGGGACAAAAAGTGACAAAAGGGAAGAAAGGGAGATCAGCTCCAATTTTCGGCTTCCCAACCCACAAAGGTAGGAAGGAGTAAGGTCCCTGGGCAAACCTACAAATAGGTTTCAGGTCCTCTCTTCTTTGGGAAGGTCTTCCGGGGGTGGAGGCGGCCTCCTGCCCTGTACAAACCACCGTAAACCCACCTGGTTTACAGTTGAACTACTCTTTGTCCTAGTCAGCAATTCAGGGAAGAGGATAAGCCATAATTAGGATTTCCTTCCTGTCCCCACAGAAACACCCTGATGGGAAGGAAGCCCTCAGGTGGATGAAGCGAGGGACAGAGAGGGAGGGGACGTTTTCTCGAGCATCTATTATACGTCTGCCAGGAACGTCACAGAAGGTCTCATTTGATCCTCACCCCTTCCCTATGAAGGGCACAAACACTCGGGTCACAGAGAAGAAAACCTGAGAGAACCCATGGAATTTGCCTGTGGCTGTCCAGCTGCTTGGAAGCAGAGTTAGGATTTATGCTGTCCCTAGACTGGTTCTACCCACATAAAAAATATGAAAATCACCCCGTCGGGAAGAGGACTGGTGGGGCATCTCATGCTAGGCAGCGGTGGTAGCAGAACAGACAAGGCTGAGCAAAGCAGGCTAAGTGGCAGCCACTTGAAACTATGAGACTATGGGGAGAGTGTCAGGAAGCAGCGTAAAGTCAGGCACAACCTTTCACCCTCCGATGGTTTAACAAGCAAAGCAAGGGGCCCCCGCTGCACGGCCGTCAAACACGGGGAGCTTCTTCCTTGAATGGAAAACATATGCTTCCAAGCCGCTCCACGTAAACGGTTCTTTCTCTCCTACTTCCCATCTCCCTTCAAAGTGCATTTGCGGTCCTTCAGCCTCTACACGACAGGGTCTCCTTGGTGTGGGATGCTGAGCCTGCCTCCCTGACAGCCATGTGGCCCCCACTCAGTCTCGCTGCCCGAGTTTGGGGTAGATTCTCCCGTGTCGGGGCCAGGGATCCCCATCTACGTGAGAAACCATCGAAGAGCAGTGATCTCCTCCTCTTCCTGGCGCCCTTGCTTGCGCTGCTGACCTCTTAGGAGGTGCTAGATCAACGCCTGTTAAATGCACTGACCTAGGGAGGACCCGTGGGTTCTGGCCCATCTCTGGGCACGTAAGAGTGACAAGCACATGCTTGTTTTCTGCATTGTTTCTCAGTGACGTCGGCTTCTCCACTCTCCACAGTGTGACTCCACTTAATCAGGGCTCCGACTTTTTTAACAGGCAAGCACGCAAGTCCTCTTGATTGTTGCCTCCATCCCTCACCGGAATGAGGCAGGGAGCAAATGTACAGTTCAATAAACATCCTTGACTCGGGCAGAGCATAATTCTAAAGCTCACTCCAAACTCCCCAATTTCCTCCTCCCCATTAGTAGTTCTGAAAGTCCTGAAACTCCATCTGCTCCATGATGGTTTTCTTAACAACAGATGACATCATGTTCCCTGTTTTAGCACGTTCCATTTCTCCTGTTCATACATGTGCTAAGTAATGTTTTTGTTCATCTCTGTCAAAATCTCTCTCCCAGGGCTCCTCAGCTCCCAATGTTCAGGAGAAGACTCTCCTGGCACGTATTTTGCTGTTTCGAGGTTAGGAGCCACACGGGGACACAGAGGAATACAGAACAACTGCATGTGCGGGGAATTCTGCAAATGGAGCCAAGCCCCTCCCCCCCCAGCAGCACAGAGGAACCCCCAGATGGAAGCTCCGGCGTGGCCCACTCTGACCCCTCGCAGTGGGAAGCAGGGCCACAATTCACTGACAGGAGAAAACAAGACTGGATATTGTCCCATTCCATGATGAAACTCACAAGCCCAGACAAATAGTACCCCAGGAAAGGTCACTCAGAAACAAGGACGTAGTAAAACCCAGTGGAGAGCGATTTCCAGATGGAAGCTTAAGGAATGTTCTATGCTGACGACAAAACTATCCCACACCCTTGAATTCCAGATGACAGGATTGACAAAAGTTTTGTTCAGCTGAAGGTTTGTGTAATTACATAACTAGCTGTCCAGTGAGGGCTGCTATGGAAATGGAGTGAAATAACCCTGCAAACACCTGCAAGCAAGAGTGTAGTGGGAATGTGTGCATTTAAATATCCACAGATCATTTTCGTTAGGTGGAAGAACACAGTTTTCTAGGCGGTTCTCAAACCTAAATTTCATTTACAGTTAGTGGAAATGAGGAATAACGAACATCTTCCATATCTCCCAAAGAATCCTGGTGAAGTATAAAACGCCCTACAGGTGATGGGGGGGGCCCACCCAAAAGTGTGTCAAACAGCCCAGAGAATGGCTCATCTGATGCCCTCACCCGGCACTAGACTCCACATGGAGCCCCCTCCATTCTCTCACCTCTGGCTTCCTCAGTTAAACTTCCAAAGACTCTCTGCTCTCACTCTCTCAGCAGCAGGCCTCTCCGTGTCTGGAGGTGGCTGGGACCCCAGTCAGGACCCCAGCCCAAGGCAGTAACGGCAGAATAGAGGGTGGTTCTTGCCTGTAGCCCAAGTCACCGCATCTTGGGTTGGCTGTGGGGAGTCCACAGCCCAAACATTACCCCAGGAAGCAAACCTTGGGCAGGCTCTGGAAGTGGTCAGGGGAGCACTTCCAATTTAAGTCCCTGGAAGTATATTGAGTTTATGCTGAGTTCAAAGTAGGCCAGATACCCCTAACTGATGTGCGAGGAATAGTTGGTAAGCTTCCGATTAGGTAAGGTTTTTATAAAGTTTTCATAGTGGGTTAGTTACTTTACTATTACAGAGACATGAAAAGTGACACTTGTAAAACCTAAGTAAGAAGGGAGGCTTTAGAAATTGGTTAAAGGAGACTAGAGCTAGAAGGCAAAGAAACACGTAAGCCCCGTGAAACAAAATCAAACAGTGTGATCAGTTGGAGCTTCTTTAGTGGAGAAGTGAGGATGCCGAGTCACTACCCTTTGTTTCTGATGATAAAACATCCAAATGGCCCACACTGTCACTTTACACAGAGGTCCAAACTGAGCAAACTATTTAGCATTCAAAATAAGACAGATTTATTAAATAAAATGGGATGGGAAATTATAAAAGTAACTTTTTAATCTATTGGTCTGTATCCTTCCAACATAAAAGGAAAGGTAAGTAGCATTATTACCTAGGCTCATATTCCACTAAAAACTCACCATAAGCATTAAAAATCACTTTACAAAACCGGGAGCAGTTCTAAGGAAATGGTGTTCTTGGCATCTGACCCATTTTTTGTAATTTAAAGACAGTTTATCAGAGGTGGCACGGGAATTCCATTTGTATATGGGGAGGGGCTGGGGAGGCTGGAAGCCTCAACTGTCTTTAAGAGAAGGAGACATTGATGCTGTTCTCTGTCACGTTTGGTAGAAATTCAAAGCAAAGGCCATAGCAGAACTGCAGTGTTACCATGGCAACCTGGCCATGCTGTACTTACGTCGTACACCTGGGGACTGGTCAGACATCGAGCGAGCAAGCCACACCAGGCTGGGAGAGTGGTGGTTAATGGGGGGCCACTGTGTGTGAGGATGGGCTTCAAGTAACTTTAAAAAGAGAATTAAGGAAAAGTGCCTGCAAAGAAAACACACACCCAACAAAATGTGTTTAGAAATCCCAAAGAGTAAATCATCTGGCATTCTACCCCCCAAAAGCCTCTTTTCCCCCATTTTACCAGTACAATACAGAAAGCACCTGTAGTCTGCAACAGTCTGAATCCAAGATTAAACTATGCCCCAACAGCCTTAAATGTTACCTGTTAACTTTCAGGTTGGCGGTTCCTCATTTTCAGTTAAAAAGAATATCTGATTAATTAGAACACCCTTCTGCCTTCTTTGTTATGCTGAATGAGAATTTTGGTTTTGATCAGCCTTCCAGCTTTTGACACACAACCAGCTCATGTTTTGGAAACAGGAAATCGTGTAGCTGGAGTGGAGATGTTACAGCCCCTGGGTCCCCTCCTCCCAGATGTCACATGGTGGAAATGTTCGAGGTGGACCTGAGAGGACTCGGCAAAAGGCAAAACGGTTTCACGAAGGTCACTCAGACCTCAACCTCCCACCTTCCCATACAGGACTACTCTTCCCTCTACCTGCTGCCTCTCTCCCAGACTCTCCAACACAGTTTCTCCACCTCGACACTAGTGGCATTGTGGGCCAGATCACCCTTTGTCGTAGGGGGCTGTCCTGCGTTGTAGGATGCCTAGCAGCATCTCTGGCCTCTACCCACTAGAGTACCCCCAACACTTCCCCCAGGTGTGACAACAAAAATGTCTCCTGACACGGCCCAGTGTCCCCTGAGAAGCAAACCTGCCCTCAATTGAGGCCCCTGTTCTAACATGAAGGTCAACTGTTCTGTGGAGACCGGCTCAGGGTTTGCCAATCTACGGATATTTGTGCTGGCAAATGTGCAGCCCTGTGTCACATTACGATGGAGCTGGGACCATTTCTGATACCCAGAGCCAAAGCAATATGGAAAAGGTGGAGACCTACAGGGCCACCTCAAATGCAGGAAAGGCCAAGAGACTTTAAAGGCAGGTGAGAAGGAGTCACTGCTGTCTGTACCCAAGCTGATGACTGCTCCGAGCACCATCACTTCCTGTCTTCATTCAGAGCAGCATGAGAGAGAAAAGGCTTCTCTACAGGAGGAGATGGAAGGGTGAGCCCTGGGTAAAATTCTGACTGGGAATTACTCATCAAAGGAGGATGTGCGGGCTCTGCTGGGACTCTATAAGCAGAACAAGCCCCCTCTGACTGCTGTCTTCATTCCTAGAAACAGCCCCTACAGGCCTATCAGTTTCCTTGTGTCTTCAGCTCAGAAGCTGACAGCAGCTGGATTTGCAGAATGACTAATACAAAAGAGTTCCGGTGAACCCAGAGGCTACCTTTTAGTTCCCTGTCTTGGGCAGTTCAAAGACAAGCTCGCTCTTCCCAAATACAGAAGGCCCTCTAACAACTTCTTTAAAAGAGAAAAAATATTTACAGATAGATTTTAAATATTCAGATTGTTGGAAGGGCAAAATTGAAATATCAAGCCTCCCTCCCACCCAGTCTTTCTGGTAATTTACCATTACAACTTTATAGAATACAGTTTTTTTCGCCTATTTCCTGATTTATAAACTGTAGTCAGCTTTTAGCTCCCTCTTATGAAGGATGGTAAATTTAATTCATTTACATTCCTGCCTCTTTTCAATTTTTTTCCTTTCTAATTTTTATTTATAATTAATTTTATACTGTAGATATATAACATTTGCATTCTGTAACTAATAAGCAAATAAATATCTGCCTTGTCTATGGATTGAGCCTAATGTTAAAGACCAACAAGCAGCACTTGTAATAATGTAATTTATGAATATTATTCACTGTAACCAAGCAGAGTGGTTGGAATAAAAGGAAATGTAATACAATGTCATTTAAACTTTGTTAGAAAAGAACATTTGAGTATCTTGCAAAAAAAAAAAAGATCTTCTTTTAATTTCTTTTTGATCTTGTTCACTTCTTCTGGGTTATAACAAATCACTGTCCCCTTAGTTGGATTTTGTTTCGTTTAATCCTTATGTTATTTTCCCCCCTTCTTATAGAGTCTGCACGGTGCTAAACTTTCTGAATTCTTGCATGTCTGAAAGCCACCCTCCTTTTTTTTTTTTTTTTTTTGCGGAGCACAGGCTCTGGACACATAGGCTCAGCAGCCATGGCTCACGGGCCCAGCCACTCCGCGGCACGTGGGATCCTCCCGGACCGGGGCACGAACCCGCGCCGTCTGCATTGGCGGGCAGACTCGCAACCACTGCGCCACCAGGGAAGCCCTGCTCATTTTTGATTAACAGTTTGGGTATAGAATTCTAAGCTCAGAAAAATTTTTTTCATCCTAGGACTTTCATTTTGTTGATGGTTTCCTTTGCTTTGCAGAAATTTTTTAGTTTGATGTAAAAAATTTTACACGTGTTTATTTTTGCTTTTGTTGCCTGCGCTTTTGGTGTCAAACACAACAACAACAACAAAAAATCAGGGCCAAGACCAATGTCAAGGAGCTTTTCCCCTCTGTTTTCATCTAGGAGTTTTATGGTTTCAGGTCTTACATTTAAGTTTTTAATCCATTTTGAGTTGATTTTTATGAGCGGTATAAGATGAGGTCCAGTTTCATTCTTTTGCATGTGGCTGTCCAGTTTTCCTAACACCATTTATTAAAGAGACTTCCCTTTCCCCATTGTGTTTCCTTGGCATGTTGGTCTTGACTCTATATGCAAGGGTTTATTTCTGGACTTCTTATTCTGTTCCTTTGATCTGTGTGTCTGTTTTTACGCCAATGCCATACTTTTTTGATTACGGTACCTTTGTAATATAATTTGAAATCAGGAAGTGTGATGCCGCCACCTCTGTTCTTTTCCCTCAAGATGGCTTTAGCTATTTAGGTTCTTTCGTGGTTCCATACAAATTTTAGGATGGTTTTTCTTTTTCTGTGAAAAATACCATCGGAGTTTTGATAGAGATTGTACTGATCCTGTAGGTCGCTTTCGGCAGTGTGGACATTTTAACAATATTAATTCTTCCAATCCATGAACACAGGTATCTTTCCGTTTACTTGTTTCTTCTTCAATTTCTTTTGTCAATGTTCTTTAATTTTCAGTATATAGATCTTCACTCCTTGGTTAAATTTATTCCTAAGTATTTTATTGTTTTTTTTTTTTTTGCGGTACACGGGCCTCTCACTGCTGTGGTCTCTCCCGTTGCAGAGCACAGGCTCCGGACGCACAGGCTCAGCGGCCATGGCTCACGGGCCCAGCCGCTCCGCGGCATGTGGGATTTTCCCGGATCAGGGCACGAACCCGTGTCCCCTGCATCGGCAGGCGGACTCTCAACCACTGCACCACCAGGGAAGCCCTATTTTATTGTTTTTGATGCTACTGTAATGGATTTGTTTTCTTAATTTCTTTTTTGGATAGTTCATTGTTAGTATATAGAAATGCAACTGATTTTTGTATGCTGATATTATCTCCTGTAACTTTAGTGATTTAGTTTAAAAGCTTCAAGCAATTTCTTGGTAGAATCTTTAGGGTTTTCTATATGTGAGATCATGTCATCTGCAGAGACAATTTTACTTCTACCTTTCTGATTTGTATGCCTTTTATTTCTTTTTCCTGCCTAACTGCTCTGGTTAGGATTTCCAGTACTGTGTTGAATAGACGTGGCAAAGAGTGTACACCCTTGCCTTGCTCCAGATCTGACAGGAAAAGCTTTCAGCTTTTCACCATTGAGTATCATGTTAGCTGTGGGTTTGTCATATGTGGCATTTATTATGTTGAGGTACATTCCATCTATACCTAATTTGTTGAGAGTTTTTATCATAAGAGAATGCTGGATTTTGTCAAATGCTTTTTCTGCATCTATTGAGACGATCACATGATTTTTATTTTGTTACTGTGGTGTTCACATTGATTATGTGGCATCCCCCAGGGATAAATCCCACTTGATTACGATGTCTGATCCTTTTAATGTGCTATAGAATTCAGATTTTTAGTATTTTGTTGAAGATTTTTACATCTATGTTCACCAGGGATACTGGCTTGTAATTTTCTTTTCTTGTAGTGTCCTTGGTGGGCTTTAATATCAGGGTCATGCTGGCCTCAAAAAATGAATTTGGGAGTATTCCCCCATCTTCAATTTTTTGGAAGAGTTTAAGAAGGGTTAATTCTTTTTTTCTTTTTTCTTTTTTTGGGCTGCACTGCATGGCTTGTGGGATCTTAGTTCCCCCACCAGGGATTGAACCTGGGCCCTCGGCAGTGAGAGCCCAGAGTCCTAACCACTGGACCTCCAGGGAATTCCCAGATTAATTCTTCTTTAAATCGTTGGTAGAATTCACCAGTGAAGCCACATAGTCCTGGGCTTTTCTTTGCTGTGAGGTTTTTAATTACTAATTCAATGTCCTTGCTTGTATTGGTCTGTTCAGATTTTCTATTTCTTCATGATCCAGTCTTGGTAAGTTGCATGTTTCTAGGAATTTATCCATTTCTTTTAGGTTATACGATTTTTGGTGAATAATTGTTCACAGTAGTCTCTTATGAGCCTATATATTTCTGTGGTATTAGTTGTAATGTCTCCTCTTTCATTTGATGTTATTTATTTGAGTCTTCTCTTTTTCTTAGTCTAACTAAATGCTTATCAATTTTGTTCATCTTTTCAAAAAAACCAACTCTTAGTTTCGTTGATCTTTTCTATTGTTTTCTGAGTCTCTATTTTATTTATTTCTGCTCTGGCCTTTGTTACTTCCTTCCTTCTACTAATTTTGGGCTTCGTTCTTCTTTTTCTAGTTCCTTGAGGAGTAAAGTTAGGTTGTTTGAGATCTTTCTTTTTTCTTAATGTATCACTTAATGTATCACTTATCACTATGAACTTCCCTCTCAAAACTGCTTTTGTTGCATCCCATAAGTTTTCCTGTGTTGTGTTTCCATTTTCATTAGTCTCAAGATAATTTTTAAATTTCTCTTCTGATTTCTCCATTGACCCATTGATTGTTTAGGAGTGTGTTGTTTAATGTCCACATATTTGTGAACTTTCCAGTTTTTCTCCAGTTACTGATTTCTAGTTTCATACTATTGTGGTCGGAAAAGATACTTGGTATGATTTCAATTTTCATACATTTGCTAAGACTTGTTTTGTGACCCAACATATGATCTATCCTGGAGAATGTTCCATGTGCACTTGAGGAGAATGTATATTCTGTTGTTGGATGGAATGTTCTGCATATGCCTAAATGTCATTTAGTCTAAAATGTAGTTCAAGCCCAATGTTTCCTTATTCATTTACTGTCCAAATGATCTATCACTTGAGCATTTTGTCACTCTCCTGTGAACTCTCTCCAATTTTCTCTACATCCTTTCCAAGCCCAGTGAGTAACATGCATTCTGAATTACAATGTAGACAAAGTTCGTATAACTTAAAAAAATCCCTGGGGGGTTCTATTTTAGTTAATAGCAAACAAGGTAATTTGAACCATCTTTTCAACTGAGGCTAACTAGAAAAGCTGGGAAAATAAAACACAACAAAATTTTCTGCTTAATGGCATCAGAAAGCTACCATGGCAGTGAAGAGGGCCAGAGTCTGGAAAAGGAAATCCAAGAGGTGAGCCCTGCACATGGTGAGCCACGTTTTCCCTAAAAGCACCTGAGAAGCTAAGCAGAGCATCTGGCAGACTCACAAAAACAGAGTGAATCTGACAAAAACTGGAGTCCAGGGTCTTCTGAGGAAGTCTACATAAATACTCTAGGCTCTAGGTTGGAACCCTAGAAGAAAGGGCACACAGAAAACAGACTAACCCTCACAGGAACTGAAGCCCAGATTCATATCACCTTTATTCCTGATTGGATTAAAGTGATCTGGAATTGCTCATTCCCCTAAACTTGCCACTGACCAGATGTAAGGTAAATCACCTCTGAAAGATGAAAGATGATAACCTCATCTAGAGCATCTCAAATTTTCTCTATACTTTTTCATTGCTCATGTCTGTCACTTATTTAAAAAAAAAAACAAACACAGATGTACAGAAGGTAAACAATAAAGCTCCTAGAAGATATCATGGGAAATTGGCTTTATGACTTTGGAGTAGACAAAGATTTCTAAAACAGAACACAAACAATAATAACCAGAACAGATAAGATCAAGAAATTGGATTGGACCTTTTGTTCATCAAAATATTCTATCTAAAAGTGAAAAGGCAAGTCACAAGTAGAGAAGATATTTTTATCACATATAACTAGCAAAATACTAATATCTAGAATACAAAGGAACTCTTAAAATCGGTAATAAAAAGGCCAATGACCCAAGAGAAAAATGGGCAAGAGACTTGAACAGGCACTTCACAAAGGAACATACCAAAGGGCCAGTAAATATATGGTAAGGTGCTCAACCTCATTAGTCACTAGGTAAATGCAAATTAAAACCACAAAGGAGTATAATCTATAAAAATATTGAATCACTGTGTTGTACACCTGAAACTAATATAATATGTAAATCAACTATACTTCCATTAAAAAAACCCACAATGAAATACCACTATAAATCCACTAGAAGGGCTAAAATTAACAAGACTGGCAATACCAACCGTCAGTGAGGATGTGGAGCAAATGGAATTCTCATACGCTAGAGGTAAGTGTGAAAAGTGGTACCACCATTTTATAAAACTGTTTGACATCATCTTCTAAAGTTGAACCTTTGCATGTCCTATGACTCAGCAATTTCACTCCTGGGTGTATTCCCAACAAAAATGTATGTAAACATGCACCAAAAGACATGTATAAGAATGTTCATGGCGGTATTTTTCATCGTAGCTCCAAATTAGAAACAATCTACATGTTCATCAACAGGATGATAAATAAATTATGATATAGTCATACAATGAAATACTATACAGCAATGAAAATAGATGAACTAGAGCTACAACATGGATGAACCACACAAATAATGTCAAGCCAAACAAACCAGATACTAAAATATAAACACTCTATAATCACATTTATACGAAGTTCAGAAACAGGTAATATTATTAAGTGTTGCTAGAAGTCAGGAGAGTGGTTATGTTTTGGGAGGAGAAAGGGGCAGTAATTGGGTTACGGCATGAGGGGAACTGGTAATTTTGTGTTTCGTGACCTGTTTAGTATTGAGTGTACTTATTTTGCAATAACTCGCAGAGCAATTATGATTTATGTACTTTCCTATACGTATTCTTTACGTCAATAAAAAAATTTTAAACACTTTCAAAGTCTCCAAAGACCATATATAAGCTACCTACCCATTTGACCGCTATGTCAACCTAAGAAACCATGAAAGTGTAACTTTTTGGTTTTTAATTTTTCACCTGGGGCCAAGTGAATCTACTAGAACAGAGTCTGCCTTGCATGTGGTCCAGTTAAGGCCAGGATCAGACTTGGCCAGACTCGGTTCAGCCAATAGGAATCATCCTCTCCACATGGGTTAACTGGCCAACCTCCACTTCCCTTCCTGACCACAGCATGGTTCAAGTGGAATTTTAACTAATTCACCTACACAGGCATATTTCCCTTGGACACAAAGCTCTGAAGTGCCACGTGAGTCTACCAGGCTGTGGACTGGCTACCCTAATGATGTGCAAACATTCTTCTTGGCCAGAGATGCTAGTTATGACTGCCTGTGGTTGAATGATCATTGCATGTGTCCCAAGAGAGGACTGACTACACCTGTAGCAGCAAGCACACATCTTCCCTTGCTCATCAGAAGTCATTCACTGACAACTCAACAAGAGGATTTCATCACTGATGTTGCACAAATACAGGGAATCCTCTTAAAAGGATACTTGTGGTCAAAGCTGTACCACAGCCTGAATAGCCATGCACTCTCCTGCTTTGTCCGGTTTCCTCTGGCAGTATCTGGACCATCCTAGGAACAAACAAGAAGAAAGATACTTAGTTGCAGAAAAGGGATTGAAATAGGGGGAAAAGTTTCCCTTTTAACCATAACCTTTAGAGATTTTGAGCTCAGAGTCAAACATTCTGTATCACCAAAATTTCAAAGATTGGGAGGTAATATTTTAAAAGAAATCAAATAAGTCCAAAAGGCAGACAAATCAATCCCCAAAGAAACAGGCTTGGTTATGACTGAGAGTAGACCAACTCAATGTAGTACAAAATTTCTTTTGGCATTTTTACTGTAATTTTCCTCAGAGTGCCTTTTAGCAGGTTAATTACCCTAAAGTAGTCTAGATCCTAACAGGCCAAAATTGATTTATAGAGAAGATTAAAGAAAGCATCTGTAAAACCAACTTTCCAGGTCCCCCACAGCTGGCCTGGGGAAATCACGCTTGGTTGAGTTTCCTGACAAACCAGCCAAGGGCTCTTTGTGGTCCTTACCCAGGCACCTGCATTGTGTTCCAGGCAGTTAGTAACTTGCCCTCCCAGCTTTAGGAAGGGGGGGGGGGTGGTGGGCAGGGGAAAGGGAGCCAGAATCAGCATCTCTGTTATTGTCTCTGCCCTCAAGTAGTACGTTCCTTTACTACTCCTCTCATGCCTTTCCAACTCAAACATCCCCATCATTTCATTTTCAAAGTAACTGGCACAATCAAACATTCATTTGTGGTTTAGGAAATCTGTTCTGTGTGAGTAGGATAAGCAGCACAATTAATATTAAAAAGTGGACTGATGGCAGCAGTCTGAGGGCAGTGCTGGGGTTCTATGTTGCTGGATGACAAGCTCTGAAAGTACAGGCTGCTTGTGAAGCGCAGCCATTTTTATCATCCTCCTCTTGAATGTTCTAGGGAGAGGCAGCTCTACAAGTAAGGGGCAATCAAGAATAACCAAATAGGGCTTCCCTGGTGGCGCAGTGGTTGAGAGTCCGCCTGCCAATGCAGGGGACACGGGTTCGTGCCCCGGTCCGGGAAGATCCCACATGCCGCGGAGCAACTGGGCCCGTGAGCCGTGGCCGCTGAGCCTGTGCGTCTGGAGCCTGTGCTCCACAGCGGGAGAGGCCACAACAGTGAGAGGCCCGCATACCGCAAAAAAAAAAAAAAAAAAAAAAAAAAAAAAGAATAACCAAATAAAAGTTGAGTCAACGATTACAAGTATGTAGTTCCAAATCTCAGTGGGTGTAAATTCTACCTGTAGTAGAGATGCCAAGAATGAGTCAGAAATCTCTGAGAAGGTAAGATACAGACAAGCATAGGGAGGGAAGTTAGCAAGCACTATTTAAATTCCTAATATTTCCAACGGCAGAGATGACTTTTAAAAACAGGGTCCCCCACGGTATTTGAGGAATGTTTAGTGACATATATGCAAATGGCTTAGTTAAATGGGCCCTTCTGTGGATGAGGAAATAAAAAGGAGAGACCCCAGAGACCAACTTTATTTCACATTTTAATAAATCACATAGGGAAAAGGGGGCACAGAAATGTCTCTATTTGCAGATAACAATCATTCCTTCAGGTAATTAATTGCTAGCCCAATGACAACTCTAGGGAGATTTCAAAATGCCACACGACAGAGTGGAAAAGTGGTAGATGACTTTTTTGAGAGATGACCGTTTTACGATAAAAATTAAATGCTTCTTTATAAAGTGATAGGCTCTAAGCTCTTGGTTCTAAGTGTCTGTAGAATCTTACTAAAGAAAAAACTAGCAAGATGATAAACACCTTCTGGAAGGATGCTATAAACCATTGGGCATAAGACAAGTTCCCCAAAGTCACTTGTCTGCTCTTCCACTAAAATAACAATAAAAATGGCAAACCCCTATTCTGTCATCCTAACCTCTGCATTATCAAATCACAGTGCATTCTCATCACCTGCAACACTTAAGTTCTTGCCATCTCACCTTAAGGAAGCTACAGGAGACTGACCTATATAAGCCCCAAGAGGGACAATGAAAATGAGTAAAGCAAGGGAAAGGCTTTTTTTTGAAGGCAAATTAAGAAAAGGTCTTCTCAGGCTACAAAGAGATATGCCTACAGTCCACAAATAAGATAAAGCGACCTTAGAAATGTAAGACACTAAGAGCCAACCCTGAAGGGTTACAAATTCAGGGCAAATAAAAAGTGCAACTCTGTAACGGGGGTGTTAAACAACTTCTTATTCTAAGAGATGGGGCCAGAAGCATGATTATGTACAGGAAGAACTTGGATAAATCCACATATAGAGGCTTTGGGGAAATCGGGGAGGGTCTGTGGAACAGGACTGATTTTTTTAAGCTGACCCAGAAGACAACCAACAACTGCTTCCTAGCATGATTTGGGCGGCTACCATTCACAAGCCAGCCGGCCCTTCCTGCGGGCTCCAAGCAGGGGTCGGTGTGGGTGCAGGTGATCCTACAGTAGGTGGGCCGCCTGCCTGGGCTGCCCAGAGGAAAAGCGGGGACTTGGCTCTCCCACCATGCCCTCCTCAAAACCTCCATCCCCACCAGGACAGTTCACACCCCCATGTCTTTAGTTCAGGCTGCTTCTAGAATCCAGAACACCCTTGCATATTCTCACCTTCTTCCACCCACAACACCTACCTGGCTGATCCCTATTCATCTTTCAAGGCTGTGTACAAGGATGGCATCTCTGAGAAATGTTTCAAAGGCAATGGAGTGCTCCAAGAGGCGTAGGTGTAACCATCACAGGCTTTCTCAACAGACTACCTGGGCCCAAGTCCTAGCTCTACTCCTGACTGTGCCTTTGCCCTGCTGTGTGACTCTGGGCAAGTTTAAATTGAGACATAATCGACATATAACATTGCGTATGTTTAAGGTGTACACCAGTGTTGGTTTGATATGTTTATATAGCAGTTTGATTACCACCGTAGGTTAGCTAATGCCTCTATCCTGTCACATAATTACCATTTCTATTTTGTGGTGAGCACAATTAAGATCTAGTCTCTTAGCAACTTTATAGTTTATAATATAGTATTGTTGACTACATTCACTATGCTGTACATTAGCTCTCCAGAACTTGTTTATCTACTAGTTGCAAGTTTGTACCCTTAAACATCTCCCCAAATCTCCCCCTCCCCCATCCCCCAGCCCCTGGTAACCACCATTCTGCTCTCTGTCCTTATGAGTTACACAAGGGATTTTAAAACATTTTACTGAAATTGTTAATAGAGAAGCCCCTTCAGGAAAATAAATACCACTAGCTCTGCTTATCACCAATTTTTGAGCATGAAACAATGAATGGCTATTTCTCCTGCATTCATTAAGCACCTACTGTGTGCCAGGTACCATGCTGGGTGCTGGAAACACAAAGAGGAATGAGACCCAGCACCTGCCACTTGAGGAGCACATTTCCAGAGGGGGAGACAGACAGACAGATACATATGGGGTGAAGAAAAAGAAAGCAGATTGAAGACCTGGGGAGTGGCAAAAAGGTCCTATTTTGAAATAATTTTTCTAGAACTAATGAATAATGATTTCTGGGTAGAGTTATATTTCATTCCATTCTTATTGTTAAGAGATGTATTTTTTATGTTAAGGTCATTACAATAATGAGAACAGCTTATTTTTTTTTCAGAGATGGAGCAGAATACTGCCCCTGCCCCCCAAAGATTTCTACATCCTAATCCCTGGAGCCTGAGTCTGTTAACGTTACACGGCTAAAGGGGCTTTGTGGGTGGACTTAAGGTTTTCCAGGTAGGCCCAGTATAATCACATGGGCCCTGAAAAGTGGACAAGGCGGGCAAGAGAGTCAGAGAGATGCGGTGGGAGAAGAGGCACGAGAGATTCAGGGCATGAAGTTTTCATAGTTGGAAGTGGAGGGGGTCAAGAGCCAGGAAACGCGGGTGCTTCTAGGTCCTGAGCTTGACTCCCGGCCAATGGCCAGCAAGGAAACAGGACCTCAGTCCTACAAGCACATGGAAGGGAATTCTACCAACAACCTGAAGGAGACTGGAAGTGGCTTCTCCCCCAGCGCCCAACCGCACTGACACCGTGATTTTGGCCTTAAGAGACCTAAAAGAGAGAAACCAGTAGAACCCACCAGACTTCTGACCTACAGAACTATAAGACTGTGTTGTTTTAAGCCACTGAGTTTGTGGTAATTTGTTACAGCAACGATATGAAACTAATGCAGAGCAAAAGAGTACATAATTGATGCAACCCGATTTGGGTCTTTCTCATGCCCCTGGGATGATGGGGCCAAGATTTCTCAGAAGCGGGTAACACAGGGTTTAAAAACAGGGAATTAAGAGCTCCACACTGCCTCCACCAGGGCTTCTCAAATTGTAAAGTGCACACAACCCTCCTGGGCACCCTGTTAAAGTGAACATTCTGATTCTGTGGGTTCAGGTGGGGCCTGAGAGTCTGCATTTCTAACGAGCTCTCTGGTGATGCCCAGGCTGCTGTCCACGGGGACACTCGGAACAGCAGGGGGGAGGTTCACGGTCCCTCTTGGAGAAGCGGACAAGGCCCTCCACCATCTCACCTCTGCCACTCTCCACCCTTATCCTTCATCACATTGTCACCAAGCCCTTAAGGACAGAGATTCATCTGTCGTGTTTGCAAATGTATTCCCAGAGCCTGCAAGAATGTTTGAAATATAACAGATGCTCCATAAATATTTGTCAAATGAATGAATAAATGTTAATTTTGAACTTCTAAGACAAAAAAAAAAAAAGAATAGCAGAAAGGGAAATCAGGGGCCAAGGGAGGCCATCAGAAAAACAAAAAAGTGTGGTGGGGAAGGCAGTCAGAGAGTAGTAATCTGAGGAAAGGCACTTCAGCAACTGTTGGAAGTTAAAGATTTAAGGGACTGGATGTCAGATTTTAGCCTGGAAGGAAACTGGGGGAGGACCCAGGAACAAACAAATCCAACTTGCCCAGAAAGGTATATGTGAATGCAACCATAAACAGCTGAGTTTCTGCAGTTTTCAGGTACACACACACACACACACCGCGAGCACAGTGGTTCCCTTCCCCCACATTCCACTAATATCCTGCTTGTGACCTTGTCCTGCTGAGATGACAGAGGCGGGATACATTCAGATTCGTGTTCCTGCCTACTCCAAAGCGGCCTCATCAATGAGCGCGCTTCTGTAAACTTGGGGAAGGAAGTGAATGATGTGTCTGCGTGTCCGGCCAACATAAATCTCAGCTGCATCTGGCATGAAAAATGCCCCATTGAATGGGTTGGGAGGCCACCCCCAGGCCCAGGCAGCTTGCCTCCAGCTGGGCTTGTTTTTGTTTTGGTTGCAAAGTCACCAAGACCTCCACAGAAACAAAGCAGCTGAGTCTTTTGTTTTGTTTTGTTGTAATGAGTCAAACTTGCCAGGGACATGAATCTGAAGTCTATCCACAATATTCTTATGCTTCCCTCACATAGAGCCAAAAGTTCTGGCCAACAGCTCCCTTCTTTCGCCCGCATGAGCGAATATTCTGTGGCTCTGTAGCCATGACTCTGTTTATAACCTTGGGCTTCTAGGACCGGTGAGGAAAATCGTGCTCCTTATAGATTGTGCTTTCCCATCAAATATCACTTTTTTGTTTGTTTGTTTGCTTTTAGCAAGATGGGGAACAAACATCTGGACTTCCCCCACCTCTGATTTCAGTTTCATGGCAACATTGAGCATGTGACCTGGATCCATTTCAGCGGAAGCTGCAAGGAACCCAGGGTTTCACCCAAAACTGAGAAGCCCATTTAGTTCTCTGTTTTACTGGTTTCTCATGACCACTGAGTGCTCCCAGCCCTGTTGTTAATGGCTTACTGGATCAAGTCAGGCCAGAAGGACTTGGAAAAATGAGGCTCTTTCTGCATGAGGGCATGAGTCATTTTTCAGAAGGTGTCCCGAAGAACTGAACTTGAAGTTCGCCTTTTTTTCCCCAGTCTGACAGCAATCTTTTTTTTTTTTAACATCTTTATTGGAGTATAATTGCTTTACAGTGGTGTGTTAGTTTCTCCTTTATAACAAAGTGAATCAGTTATACATATACATATGTTCCCATATCTCTTCCCTCTGACAGCAATCTTGAAAGACTTTCAAAATGCCAACAGAACTGCCTTTGAGGGCCCTCTGCACGACTGCGTATGAGGTTTGGAAGGAGGGCGGTTAAAGCAAAGGTGTGACACAGCTCCTGACCAGGGCCGGCCAAAGGGGCACCACTGGGAGTGCAGCGGAAGTGGCTACCACCTGCCTGGTCAAAATTGGCCCAAAGGGCGGTTTCCAATGTTGGCCCTGCCTGAGGCTGGGGGCGCTACCTTAACTATCACTGCATGGACTAAATGCACTGCCAGAACCCTTAGCATTTAGGACCCACTGCTTTTCAAACATTTCCACAGCAAGTTTGTTACTAAGTCTAGTTACAAGCCCACTGTCTCTGAGACATAGTAAGTTCAGCTACATGAAACCAACCAAACCATTTCATGTATTTCCTTTCACAGATGCTTGAGTCCAGAGGCAGGAGCAATGGAAAACAGCAAAATGGCCGGGGGGAGGGGGTCGGTGTTGACCAACTTGGAACTGTCAAGATGAAATTGCCCCAAACCCTTGATATCCACCTGGCAGTGACCTGTTTTTCTTACAAAATTAACTTGACAGGCCACAGGTCTATGGAGGATGTGTATCCTACCAGAGCCATTATTTTCCCTTCGGTGAAATGAGGATGTCCATCATGAATTTCACCCAGGTTTCCTCAGATCCCAGTTTGGGGGAACCCAAACTGTCAGACTCTAAATTGGCTGCCAGGTGCACAGTTCCTGAACCCCTGTTTTCTAAAGTCCTTAATCAAAGCTCAAGTCAAATAGCAACTTTTCAAACAGAGCTTCTCATTGAAGCCACATGTTCCCAACTGGCACAATGGCCAATTCTAATATAGCCGCAAAGGTCTTCTGGAGCACCATTAAAGTGGGCACCAAATCTCCAAGTGAAGCTCACTGAAAGCTCTTCCCAAAATGCCTAGAACTTTCAGAGGTCATGGCTTTGTGTCCCTTAAGGGGCATCAACCCAAGAATGGCTCATCAGGCTGTAACCACCCTCAGAGAAAGCTGTGGTGGCACCCCTGGGCCCCACACGGCACCACATTTTGCAAGATGTGTTAAATCAGATTCGGTAGCTGGAGTCATTTAGAAGATCCTAGATTCGGAATCTAAGACGTACAGACTGGATTTGGGATTAAGTGCAATGATGAGTGTGATGCAAAGCTGACTGAAAGAAAAAGAAACACTCAACATGGCTTTGTGGACAACACATGCACATGGTGAGTGAAGCTTCCCATGCCCTGTGCTGCTCTCGCTCCCCCATCTTCCCATCAAATACCGATCAGCCCCCCCCCCATGGACCAGGCACTGTGCTCAGCACTGGGTATTCTATGCTGAACAAAACAGTTCTTCACTCCCAAGGCCAAATCATAACATTTTGGAAACACATCTCTGCTCCTCTCGTGACTTTCCCTTCCCCCACCTTGGCTGCCCAGGAAATGCTGGCCTGGGGAAGGAGCAAAACCGGAGGCAGGGCTTCCCTGGTGGCGCAGTGGTTGAGAGTCCGCCTGCCGATGCAGGGGACACGGGTTCGTGCCCCGGTCCAGGAGGATCCCACGTGCCGCGGAGCGGCTGGGCCCGTGAGCCATGGCCGCTGGGCTTGCACGTCCGGAGACTGTGCTCCGCAGCTGGAGGGGCCACAGCAGTGAGAGGTCCGCGTACAGCAAAAAGAAAAAAAAAACAACAAAAAAAACCTGGAGGCAGAATGAGCCCACCAGCCCCACAACAGGGCTGATACAGCAGCTTTAGAACATGGCTGCCACTTCGCTTATGCTCCTCCCATCCAGAGGTGATGGTCTCTATCTCCTCCCACTGAATCTGGGCTGGCCCTAGCAACTTGTTGTAACCAAGAGAAAGTCACGGAAGTGATGCTGTGTGACTCCCAAGGTTAGGCCAGAAAGGGCCACATAGTCTCCACCCTGCTTGCTGGGACACGGGCTTTTGGAAGCCTGAGCCATCACATAAGAGGTCCCATACCCTGAGGCCATGGAGAAGCCATCACAGGCATTCTAGTCTCTGGTCCTAGTCTGAGTCCTCCCAGCCCAGGCGCCAGACATATGAGCGAATGAGCCTTTGGATGATTCCAGCTCCCAGCTGTTGAGTTACCCCCAGGTTTCTTCATGGAGCAAAGGCAAGCTGTCCTGACTGTGCCCTTTCCAAACCTAGAGAATGCATGTGGATACGAAATTGTTGTTCACTTTCCTTCCTACGTTTGGGGCAGTGAATTATGCTGCAAGAGTGACCGGAGCGGATGGCAAAACCAAGGACCAGCACGCGCCTCTTCCCCCACCATCCCCACCCCCGCCCCACCCCAGTCTCCATCAGAATTCTCTGTGGCAGCAGGAGCTCTTCCCTGCTGTCACACGAGATGCGGCCATAGCGCTCTTGCCCTCACCTGCTTCTACAGCTTCCACTCCAGGCTGTCACTGCCACCACGATCCCGCCCAAACCTTAACCGTTAGCCTTGCTGTGACCTTCATCGCCTATGGGGCTGAGGGCTGCTGCTCTGCTACGGCCGCACCGTCACCCAGCGTCCCTCCTCTCTTGCTCAGATTCCCTGGGCTGCAGAGTTGATCACATCCCTCTCCTTCCCAGAACCAGTTACCGTGAGCCAATCACCGATGTATCCATATATCCATTCTTGGAAGGTAGGGAGTCAGCTTAAACATACTTTTTGGCCCCTTAATATGTTAAGAACAGGGACTTTGGACTCAAATCCTGCCTCCATCATTTTCAAATTCTCTGACCTTAGATGACTCACTTCAACTCTCAAACTTCAGCTTCTAATCTGTAAACTGGGGATAACAGTTCCTACTTCATAAGGTTGTTGTCAAGACCACAATGAGGGAATCCACGTAAACTCCTTGGCGTGTAGTAAACGTTCAATAAATTTTAGCTATTTTTAATAACACCTCCCTGGGAAGAAGCATCTCTTGTGACTTACCCCTTGTAAGACTTGGAAGCTGTCATTGTTGGGTGGTGGGTCTTGATCTGGATCAACACCAACTCTATAAGTCATCAGAGAGAAAGACAAGGAGAAAAACAGAGAGTATTAGCTTGGACCATAGCGGCCAGGCTGGCTCAAAGTAGCCAAGAGGCTGACCATCTTCCCAAGGTGGAAGGAGTGGTTAGCTAAAAGAAGGGAAAGGCTGTCATGCAAAAGTTGTGCGAAAGAGGTCATACATCACATCAGATCCCAGGGGTAGGCCGGGCAATCAACCTGTGTGCTGACACCTTAAGCAAGACCTCTGGAGAACGGCAGCAGCGGGCAAACTGTCTGCCTGCCCTCCTGCACCAGATGGCCCCAGGTAGCAAAAGGTGGGTCCTGCCGTCCCAGGCCTCTTCCTCTCTGCTGCTTCCTTACTCCCCTCTGACCTGCTTTTATTTCCTAACCTTTTGTTATGGAATTTTTCATATATCCAGGTAAGTTTTGAAAGAATTTATAGTGAATACCTGTATACCCCTCACCCAGATTCTACCATTAACATTTTGCTGTATTTTCTTTATTACATACCTAGCCCTCTCTCTATCATCCACCTTATTTTTTGGATGAATTCAAATAAAGTCGCAGACATCCATACACTCCCCCTAAATATTTCAGGATGCATATCATTAACTTTCTATCCTGGTGGCCCCGCATCCCCCTGCAGCACAGATGACCTGAGAACTCACACGTTTGAGATCAGCAACTGAAGACAGAAAGAAAAAGCAAGGTGGCACAATCCACTTATAACAAAATCCATGAAAGCACTAGGGTAAGCTGACTTGGCTTAGCAACATACCAACTGTTGCCCTATGTATCTGTTAATTCTTTATCCTTGAACCTTCCTCATTGTAAGGCAGAGAACTGTGGCACTGATGACACGGATAACATGGGGCAGCGGAGGAGGAGACAAAGATGCCAGGAAAATTCTCTACTTTCCTTGTTCCCTCCAATATTGCAAATAGTGGCTGGGATCATAAAAGCCAAACAGAAAACACAGCTTTCAGCAGGTCTGATTTGAGCTTGAAGAGAGGTGCTGAATGGCCTTGACCATGTGTGTTATTTGCTGTCTGGCACCAGGGTGCTGACTCCGATGAGCAGACAGTGGATGTGCAAAGCCCCACGTGTGCCTTATTTTTCCTCCTCTCCCTCCCGCTTCTCCACCTGTGATGCCCAGTATATATCTTGAGAAAAGAGACTAATGGAAAGGAAGAATAGAAGACAACACAGACATACTGGCAGCCTCCACTCTGTTTTACTCCAGGCTTGCCGAGCACTAAGCCAAGGTGCGTGCCCCTTGGATGGGGGTGAGGAGATACAGAAGGAAAGGGAACAGTCACCCCATATTTTGCTGAAGGCAAAGTTTAAAAACCACGAGATGAATTCATGCATTCAGCAAATATTTACTGAGTGCCTACCAAGCCAGGCCCTGTTCTGAGCACTCTGTTAAAACCTATAGTGTACCTGGCACCAGATTTCCTCCCCACAGGCCTGAGGTTTGATGGAATCTTTGTAGTGAATTAGATTGACTTTGCTGTGTCTAGAGGTCAATTTCTGGCAGGAGTTTCTGAGGCCTGGAGGCTTGATCTCATAGCTGGACATTATCCAGGGACTTTTTTTTTTTTTTTTTTTTGCGGTACGCGGGCCTCTCAACGTTGTGGCCTCTCCCGTTGCGGAGCACAGTCTCCGGACGCGCAGGCCCAGCGGCCATGGCTCATGGGTCCAGCCGCTCCACGGCATGTGGGACCTTCCCGGACTGGGGCACAAACCCGCGTCCCCTGCATCAGCAGGCGGACTCTCAACCACTGCGCCGCCAGGGAAGCCCCTATCCAGGAACTTTTGAGCAACAAACCTCACAGAGATTTTTTTGGAAATGAAATATTCTGGGGTCCCAGGACTACCCACAGAGGTCACACGAGAGCCTCAGTGCTTCCAAAGTGTCTAACATACTGAAGTGGTAGAGGAGAGGTCACACTGAATTCCTAGCTGTTCATCTTTAACTCTCACCTGATTTGAGAGTCTCTAATGTACGTTCCATAGAGAAATGTCCTCTATATGGTGTCAGATCTGTAAGACCCCAACAGCTAGGAATCCAACATTAGGTCTTGTTCTGTGGATTCTACAGCCGCATGGAGCCACTTCATGGCAGACTAATTTGCATAGATGAGCTCCCCAGTAAAGCCTCAGAGAGAGGGGCAGAGCACTGGTTACTAGTCTGTCTCCCAGACAGCCTACCAGAAAGCCTGGTGACACAGCAGCCTTCTGCCTAACCACAGAGAGGCTATTGTGGGGCAGGAGCAACGAGATGATGTGATCTGAAGGGCACGGTGGGCAGGATGGCGAAGAGCACAGCAGCTCATACCTGCCACGGACAGTCTCTCCTTTCTCTACTGTGAATTTTGAAACAGGTGTATTGCCTTTGTAAGTGGCTTCCACGCCGTAAAGATAAAGCATATGGATTTTATCAGCCTAGGTGAAATAGGAGCCCTATAGGTAAGAGAAAAGGCTTAAGTGTGCCTTGTCCTACAATGAAGAAAATAAAGCCAAACATAATAAAAGCTTCCAAATGAAGTCTAGCTCCCTCTATTCTTTCAACTAACCTCTGCTAGGAGAAAAAAAAATTGTTTAACAAGAATTAAAATAAATTCTGTTTAACAAGAACTGCTTATAAAGACTAGGTTTTGACTATTTTCATTCAAGTCCTGGAAACATAAGAGGAATTCATCTATTATCCTCGGCCCACATGGCCAGGCCAGAATTCAAACAATGGAGCACGAAACACTGGAATAACCTGATAAACTCACAAAATCAGGGCCACCCTAACCTCATCCCAAACTGGTTCGACATTTTGCTTGGGGGAACTTGAGGATGATTCTAGATGCACATCATCCAACAGAACTTTCCGCAGTGATGGCAGTATTCTAGATCTGCACTGCCCAGTGTGGTAGCCACCAGCCACATGTGGCCACTGTGCACTTGAAATGTAGTTAATATGACTGAGGAACTGCATTTTAAGTTTTATTTCATTTTAGTTAATTTACATTTAAACAGCCACATGTGTCTAGTGGCTACCAAATTGCACAGTACAGATTCTAGAAAGTACTAATTCCAGCCATGTCTCTCTAGCATCACTTTTTTCTCTGCCCCAAAAAATGACAGCTATCTGCTTCCTTCTGCCTTCTCAGTGATAATACCCAAGATTCCTGCTGGGATCCTGCGGAGATGCAACTCTGTAGTCCCATACATATTAAGTAAAAATTTGCTTGAACTGATTACTTAGACAATGGAGAGATTTCTCACTTCCTCGGTATAGAAAATAAGATTGAAAACCCGCTGAAAGCTCTTCTATACAGATACTTGTCATAAACATGAAAGGAATGACAGGATTAGAAAATCACCACTTGCCCCTCACAGTGTAATAATTGTTTTGAGACAATTTTACCAGTGGGTAAAAGGTTGTTGGGAATCTGACTATTCATATGATGTTAAAGGATCACTCTACAGGTAACTTTTTAGTTACAAAGGGAAAACAGTGCTTTTATGGAGAGACCTGGCGTCTAAAGTGATCAAATTTAACATCACTAATAAAAGGACAGCCTGACAACATGCACCACCTGATATGATGCAACAAGAAAGTATAACATCACTTTTACATTATTTTTGCCCCCCCCAAAAAATGATTATCTATCTCTACTCAAGAGGAAAACAAATTTTAAAAATCCACTTTGTAGGGCATTATGCAAGACAATTATCCTGAAAATCCTGACTCCTTAAAAAAAAAAACCCTCAATGTCATAAGAGACAAAAAGGAGGAGGGGAGGATTGTTCTAGATTAAAAGAGACTAGAGGGGCTTCCCTGGTGGCACAGAGGTTAAGAGTCCGCCTGCCAATGCAGGGGACACGGGTTCGAGCCCTGGTCCTGGAAGATCCCACATGCCGCGGAGCAACAAAGCCCACGTGCCACAACCACTGAGCCTGCGCTCTAGAACCTGTGAGCCACAGCTGCTGAGCCTGAGCGCCTAGAGCCCGTGCTCCGCAACAAGAGATGCCACCGCAATGAGCAACGAAGACCCAAGGCAACAAAAATAAATTAATTAATTAAAAAAAAGAAAAAAGAGACCACAGAGGTGACAACCAGGTCAGTCAGAGCATACAGTGGCAAGGAGCAGGGGGAGGGGCATGGAGCCACCACGGGCCTGAATTTAAAAAAAGATGACAGCCAAAGGAAACTTTGATTGGATCCTGGATCCTGTGTGTGTGTATAAAATTCATGTTACTTTCTCAGGTGTGATAAATATACTGTGATTATGTAGAAGACTAGATTCCTAGGGGATACATGCTGAAGTATTTAGGGGTAGAAAGTCATGATGTTTATAACGTACTCTGAGGTACTCAGAAATGGTTGAGAGAGAGAGAGAGAGAGAGAGAAAATGATGCAAAAATGTATGACAAAATGTTAACAATTGGCACATCCAGGTTAGAGCTTGGATATTCATTGCTCCATTCTTTCAGCTTCTTTTACAGATTTAAAATTTTTCACAACTTAAAAACAATATTTGATTATATCTTTGGTGAAAATGTTTCACAAATACGTGAGTACAATTTCCTGTCTCTATAATTTAATCTAATTTACTAATAATGATGATTCGGGATCCTCATATTACTCCAGGGTCTGAAAAATCACAAATTGTGAAGATTCATGGACATAGGGTGCTATAATAGGTAAATAGGTAGATACAGTCTAGTAATTACACGGGTTTTTTAATCCCAGATAAATCTTAGAATATTCTGTTGAGGTTTTCCTCCTAAAAGTGAAGGGCAAGGAGAAAAATGCTAGTTAACTGAAACATATGGTTAACTAAATTCCAACCAAGACAGCCATCCTCAGATCTGGTTGTGCACATCCCCTGGAAACCTACAGTTCTGAGCACAGGCCTATCCAGAGCCCCCATTCCTTGCTTTTCCCTCCCTCTGCCATGGCAGTTCTGATACTTGCTGCAGCCACTTGCTACCACCAACTACCTGCCTGAGATGCAGCCCAACTCCTGGCCCACTCAGAGCCTCCAAAGACCTCTGGGGCCCTCCCACAGGTGGAGTAACTTGGGAGGGCCCCTTGGAGGGTCTCGGAGGTCCCTGCTACTGACATAAGTGCTGAATAGGAGAAAGTAAACCTGCTTCCCAGCTTGCTACTGGGTTTTAAATGCCAAAAGAAAACAGACCAGGGGACTTGCGACACAGACCGTGTTCTGCGATTTCTTTCCCCATTCAAGGCTGTTTACTTCAGGACAATTGAATGATTACTTTTCTGGCAGAGTTGAGGGTCTCTTGGACCAATTCCCAAGGATGGTAATGGACCCCTACAAAGGGCCTCACCCTTGGGGCAGGGTGTGTGGTGGTGTGCTGGGCAGCAAGAAATACCAGGTACAGTATTTTAAGTACAGTGCTTCAGAAGACTTAGGGTTCGTTAACTTTCTGAAATTCCTGGTTTCAGGAAACTGTCCACAATATATATTTCCCTCCTGACCTGTTATAACGCTTTTGATCTAGGCCACCATATAAATCTAAAACTTCTGTGCTGTTTCATTACATCATATTTTAGCACTCCCCTGATACATCAGGGTTGAGCTCATCTAAGCACATACAACAGTCTTTTCTTCCAGAATGAATTGAATTATCCTTACTTTCATTAAGAATAAGACGAATGTGGTAATCCCATACCGAATGAGAAAATAAAGCTATCACACAGATGTGCTCATTCTGGAATGAATACAAAAAATGAATCATTTCCCTTTTGATATAGTATGTACATTCTGATTAACCACCATATAAAATGCCATGAAATCTCAGAAATTTTAGAAGCTAGATTTAATCAACAAGTTTTTACTTTTTAATTGGAATGGCTGAGGTCCTAAATTATTTGGGGAATATGAGACACACATGTTCACATAAAACCTTGAACAACAAACAGATCATTATCTGAATTCTCTCATGTCCCAAGTGTAATAACTTGCACTTTGCCTGAGGGACCTTCCTTCTTGAAGGTTGGACATTTCAAAGGAAAGGATTTCCCCTGCTACTTAACTGGTAGTTACAGTCAGGTCTCCGAAAATGAATTTGTGTGTGTGTGTGTGTGTGTGTGTGTGTGTGTGTGTGTGTGTGTGAGTATGTGTGTGTATTTTAAGCAGGAGAAAAAAGTGTGAATCCAGGGAACTTAAATGCTTCAAATAATTGTATGCATGTCATTGTAGTTTACATTGGGGCCTGGCAATATCCCAAGATTCATGCCCCATGACAGGTACTGCGGCTTTTACCACTATCCTCAGAGAGTAAAACACTTTCACAACGAGAGAAGAACAGAGTTCAAGCCTGTTTTGTGTTTGATTTATCTACCAGCACCCAGAATCAGATCAGGAAGAAAGCATGCCAGTTAAAGATACGGAAAGGAAAGAAGAAACACTAAAGTCTTTACTCTGATAGCCCCAAATCACCACCCTTAGGCATAATCAAATGATAAACTTGGATGGACACTGAGAAACAAATTGCATTAGAAGAGTCTTTCATTATCTTCTGATTTAAAGAAAAATCTGTGTTTTGTATCTTCTGATTCACGATGATAAGGTACAAGTACACAAATTCATACTTAAAAAGTAAAACGGCATTGGTGCTTAATTAAAATGGTGTAAACCATACCCCAGTCATGGCTGAAATATAAAATTCGAGTTCTCTTTATGACTTAAAAGCCTTGTTTACTAGATCACAAGCAGAATTTTGTGGGGAAAGCATTTGTGGCTCTGAAAATGGGCTGCTCTTAAAACTAAGCTCAGCTGTACACGGAGAGACTCACCAACTCCAGCTTTGGTGCCACACACTGTCCAAAATGGGGCGAGGGGGGACAGACTCTCAAGAACACCAACACATTAATCAGCCCAGAGGAGGGTAGAATAATGATTAACCGGACCTCCTGCCCCTTTTCGAAAAGGGGCAGATGGTTGGCGCACACGGGGAAGGAAGAAAGAGACAAACAGCATAAAGAGAAACATCTCAGGTTAGAAAGAGGAGAAAAGCCAGGCCCAGTTAATTTGTTTCTGAGGATGCCCTGTGTCACCTGAAGTACTGCCAGCGGTGTTCATTCTGGTCCTCTTCGGAGGGCTCCTCGACGCCAACTCTGGGCAGCAGAAGAAGGGAACGTGAGTGTGACGGGGACAACAGGGGAACTAGGAGCTCTGGGCACATGACCTGGACCACGTCCATCAAAGAATAAAATCCGCACCCCCCTCTTAAGCTGTCCCCCTGTTCTCTAAAACCCAGAGAGGCTGCTAAATTTACATCAAAAGCAACAATGTTAGCAGCCAAGTCAAATGAGGATTGATTAGGAATGAAGACAAGCCTCTCAAAATATAACGTAATGAAATCAGAGTAATAAATGCAACTCATAGAAAATGACTTCATATAATTTTTCAGGAATTCATCTGTTTTATAAAGCAAGACACATCCATACAAAAACTAGAAAACAGAAAGTTGTTATTAAACATATATTTGAAGTGTTTACACATAGTTTTACACATATTTGACAGAAAGAACACTGTATCACTGAAAACAGCAAAACCAGAAGATAAAATGGCCTTTTTTTCTAGACAAGTAATCACACTGTCCATGGGTTGTACCCGAAGGTCAGGAACCCAACTTCTGCTATTCTCTTTACCTTATGGCTTCAAGAGTTGACACGGTCTATTTTCCCCTCCCTTAATAACTGCTGGGTTATTCAGACTACATTTGAATTACACCATCATACTAAGAGCAGGGTTTCACAACCTCAGCACTACTGACTGACATTTTGGGCCCTGGCCTCTACCTGCAATATACCACCAGTAGCACCCCCCTCCAGCTGAAGCAACCAAAAATGTCTCCTGACATTGCCAAATGTCCGGAGAGGGCAAAACTGCCCATAGCTGAGAACCCCTACTCTAAGTCCTGCATTCTCAGTGGGGGGTGATATAGACCCCAGGGGCATGAAAATCGGTTCTTATGGGACAAAAAATTTTTTTAGATATTACAGTGGTTTGTAGCCCTCTAAAGCACCATAGTACATAAACAGATACATAGATCTGTGGTATTAAAATTTCAGTGGAAGAGGTAGATAAAAAGAACATTTTTAAAGGCTCTTATTCAGAGGGGCAGTGATGGAAAAAAAAGGTTGAGAAACACTGTGCTAGACAATGCCCAAATACTCATGCTACTAATACGCCCTGAAAAAAGCAAGTGAGAACATGATGCTTCTTAAGGTGGTACTTTTAATTAGGTATATGTTCAGAATGTGACTTAAACCAGACTACAGTATTGAAAAATTGTAACAAATTCCAGAAAAGCAAGCTGGATTCCATTAATGTAAGATTCACTAGTAATAATAATAGTAATAGCAGCAGTATTAAGGTTATGATTAGCAATGATAATGTCATAGCTAAAATACACTAAATGCTTTCCATGTGCCAGATGGTACATTTAATGGCAGAATTCTTTATCATGTTTATTTGGTATCACATTTTATCTTCACACTGTTGTCATCCCCATTTACCCAGACAGGAAACTAAGAGCAAGAGAGGTTAAATAAGTTGCCCAAGGTCACAAAGGTAGAAAATGATGGAACCAAGATTGCAACTGAAGCTGTTAGATCCCAGAGCCCTAGCTCTACCCCTTACAGGATATTGCCTTTGACTACAAGGTGGCGTCTTTAAATTCTTTTAAAATATCCAGTAACAAATGCTATTACATAAAGATCTCAGGGCTTCTCCCTGCCTTTATTCCTTAATTTATCTTTAAAGAGCTTTATCTTAAACTCTCAATGTGACAGGATTATACCTAGCAGAGTGACCTTACTTGTCCTTGGGTGATTGTATTGCTGCACTCTGGAGTATGAAGGTTATCCTGTTCATTTGGCTGCCTGGGTGTATGCCATTAACCCCCCACAATCACCACCACTTCGTTGGTGTGTCACTTGAAGCTGGGCCTTCCAAGAGGACAGCCACCATGCCACCAAAATGTGCTCAGGACATAGATGAGGCTCATCTGCTGAATCTGCGCGTCTGATGGTTTTTTCAAGTTGCCAAAATTACAACCTTTGTGAATAACAACAACTTGCTCAAGAGACTAAGAAAAATAGTATGTAGTTTGTATATTACCAGAAGGCAATTTGAAGTTTGTATATTACCAGAAAGCAATTTGAGCATTTTGCCATTATGTTTTAAAATAGCAATCACATGCTCAACATCACTAATTATTAGAGAAATGCAAATCAAAACTACAATGAGGTATTACCTCATGCCAGTCAGAATGGCCATCATTAAAAAGTCTACAAATAATAAATGCTGGAGAGGGTGTGGAGAGAAGGGAACCCTCCTCCACTGTTGGTGGGAATGTAAATTGGTGCAGCTACTATGGAGAACAGTATGGAAGTTCCTTAAAAACTAAAAGTAGAATTACCGTATGATCTAGCAATCCCACTCCTGGGCATATATCAGGAGAAAACTATAATTCGAAAAGATACATGCGGGAGTTCCCTGGTAGCCCCCGTGGTTAGGATTCCGGGCTTTCACTGCTGTGACCCCGGTTCAATCCCTGGTTGGGAAACTGAGATCCCACAAGCCGTGTGGTGTGGCCAAAAAACAAAACAAAAAAATACACATGCACCCCAATGTTCATTGCAGCACTATTTACAATAGCCAAGACATAGAAGCAACCTAAATGTCCATCAACAGAGGAATGGATAAAGAAGATGTGATATACGAACACACCACACACACACACACACACACACACACACACACACACACACACACACACAAATTAATTAATTAAAAAAAAAGAAAAAAGAGACCACAGAGGTGACAACCAGGTCAGTCAGAGCATACAGTGGCAAGGAGCAGGGGGAGGGGCATGGAGCCACCACGGGCCTGAATTTAAAAAAAGATGACAGCCAAAGGAAACTTTGACTGGATCCTGGATCCTGTGTGTGTGTATAAAATTCATGTTACTTTCTCAGGTGTGATAAATATACTGTGATTATGTAGAAGACTAGATTCCTAGGGGATACATGCTGAAGTATTTAGGGGTAGAAAGTCATGATGTTTATAACGTACTCTGAGGTACTCAGAAATGGTTGAGAGAGAGAGAGAGAGAGAGAGAAAATGATGCAAAAATGTATGACAAAATGTTAACAATTGGCACATCCAGGTTAGAGCTTGGATATTCATTGCTCCATTCTTTCAGCTTCTTTTACAGATTTAAAATTTTTCACAACTTAAAAACAATATTTGATTATATCTTTGGTGAAAATGTTTCACAAATACGTGAGTACAATTTCCTGTCTCTATAATTTAATCTAATTTACTAATAATGATGATTCGGGATCCTCATATTACTCCAGGGTCTGAAAAATCACAAATTGTGAAGATTCATGGACATAGGGTGCTATAATAGGTAAATAGGTAGATACAGTCTAGTAATTACACGGGTTTTTTAATCCCAGATAAATCTTAGAATATTCTGTTGAGGTTTTCCTCCTAAAAGTGAAGGGCAAGGAGAAAAATGCTAGTTAACTGAAACATATGGTTAACTAAATTCCAACCAAGACAGCCATCCTCAGATCTGGTTGTGCACATCCCCTGGAAACCTACAGTTCTGAGCACAGGCCTATCCAGAGCCCCCATTCCTTGCTTTTCCCTCCCTCTGCCATGGCAGTTCTGATACTTGCTGCAGCCACTTGCTACCACCAACTACCTGCCTGAGATGCAGCCCAACTCCTGGCCCACTCAGAGCCTCCAAAGACCTCTGGGGCCCTCCCACAGGTGGAGTAACTTGGGAGGGCCCCTTGGAGGGTCTCGGAGGTCCCTGCTACTGACATAAGTGCTGAATAGGAGAAAGTAAACCTGCTTCCCAGCTTGCTACTGGGTTTTAAATGCCAAAAGAAAACAGACCAGGGGACTTGCGACACAGACCGTGTTCTGCGATTTCTTTCCCCATTCAAGGCTGTTTACTTCAGGACAATTGAATGATTACTTTTCTGGCAGAGTTGAGGGTCTCTTGGACCAATTCCCAAGGATGGTAATGGACCCCTACAAAGGGCCTCACCCTTGGGGCAGGGTGTGTGGTGGTGTGCTGGGCAGCAAGAAATACCAGGTACAGTATTTTAAGTACAGTGCTTCAGAAGACTTAGGGTTCGTTAACTTTCTGAAATTCCTGGTTTCAGGAAACTGTCCACAATATATATTTCCCTCCTGACCTGTTATAACGCTTTTGATCTAGGCCACCATATAAATCTAAAACTTCTGTGCTGTTTCATTACATCATATTTTAGCACTCCCCTGATACATCAGGGTTGAGCTCATCTAAGCACATACAACAGTCTTTTCTTCCAGAATGAATTGAATTATCCTTACTTTCATTAAGAATAAGACGAATGTGGTAATCCCATACCGAATGAGAAAATAAAGCTATCACACAGATGTGCTCATTCTGGAATGAATACAAAAAATGAATCATTTCCCTTTTGATATAGTATGTACATTCTGATTAACCACCATATAAAATGCCATGAAATCTCAGAAATTTTAGAAGCTAGATTTAATCAACAAGTTTTTACTTTTTAATTGGAATGGCTGAGGTCCTAAATTATTTGGGGAATATGAGACACACATGTTCACATAAAACCTTGAACAACAAACAGATCATTATCTGAATTCTCTCATGTCCCAAGTGTAATAACTTGCACTTTGCCTGAGGGACCTTCCTTCTTGAAGGTTGGACATTTCAAAGGAAAGGATTTCCCCTGCTACTTAACTGGTAGTTACAGTCAGGTCTCCGAAAATGAATTTGTGTGTGTGTGTGTGTGTGTGTGTGTGTGTGTGTGTGTGTGTGTGAGTATGTGTGTGTATTTTAAGCAGGAGAAAAAAGTGTGAATCCAGGGAACTTAAATGCTTCAAATAATTGTATGCATGTCATTGTAGTTTACATTGGGGCCTGGCAATATCCCAAGATTCATGCCCCATGACAGGTACTGCGGCTTTTACCACTATCCTCAGAGAGTAAAACACTTTCACAACGAGAGAAGAACAGAGTTCAAGCCTGTTTTGTGTTTGATTTATCTACCAGCACCCAGAATCAGATCAGGAA